CAATATAATATCAATTTCTTAATGATAAAATTTAGGAAAATATCTTAGAAAATGAGGGCAGTAATTTACAAAGCACTGTTCTACGAAACATTCAACTATAGAAATAAAGAATATCTAAATATGTACGAAAAGTTAATAATATTCAGTGCTCTTTTCATAATGTAATAATAAGCGTAAAATAGCTAATTTACATTATGTAATTGAAATATTCGTCAAAATTAAAAAGAAGAAATATCATTAATGAAATAGATTGAATCTCTAAGAAAAAATGATATATATATATATATATATGTATGTATATACATATATATATATATATGATGAAAACTGAGTTAAATTATTAACAATTTTTACTATAAATAAATAACTTTTACGCTTTATAATTTATTCTTATTTTTTTCTTTCTTTTACATTTTTTTTTCTTTTTTTTATTTTTTATTTTTTATTTTTTATTTTCTTTTAAATACATAGAACATAAATTTAAATAATTGCTTGTACACATGAGCGCACAAAAAAGAAGTAAATTTATCATGGATCATCAAGAGATTAGAAAAATAATATTTTTCTTATCGTCATGAGTGTGCAAAAGTATATAGCACACTTGTATTCGTCTAAAAACAAATGGGGGGGGGGACTTTCTTTATATCGAGCCTCTTGTTTACTTATTATTCAAAAATCCCACGGAGTTAAACGCATAAAAAAAAAAAAAAACAAAAAAAAAATAGAATTAGCTTAGCATTTTAATAAAATATCATTTTTTGGCACAGACATTAAATGCGCTTTCGAGGATTACTTGATAATAATTTATTCGTGTCATCCTCGTTGCGCGTGCACCACGTCGTTAAACATATTACAACGCAATGCTCACCAAAGTGTATTAACGTTTTATTAATAATAAATAAACGTCTCAGTTCTTTATTGGACAATTCCGGTAGCATGATGTATAAGACGATTAAAGATTATTCACTGATATGATTTGATTTATCCAACCGATGAAGGCAGATACTTTAACATAAACACCAGGAACATCCAACCTTCCACAGCCAAAGCCCCATGATACTAATCCAGCTAATTCGTAAAATCCATCATCTTGACAAACTAATGGACCTCCTCCGTCACCCTATGATATTCGAGGACATTAACATATTAACAGATATACCGAAAACATGAATATTATTATCATCAGATACAAATATATCATATACCTATTGCTCAAAACAGTTAAAGGATTCTGTTATTAAATGAACAAAATTCCATTCAATTTTCTTCAAATCAGTTCACAGTAGTGATCCTTCAATTGTTTTGAACATTATATATATATACATGTATATTGTTATAGTAAATCTCAATGATTATAATTAACAGTTTACATACCTGACACGCGTCATTACCCTGTTCTCCACCGGCACAGAAACTACTAGCTGGAAGTATGAAGATTTTTTCCGTTACAGCATTTACTTTTCTAATACATTCGGCGTCGCTAACGATCGGTATTTCTGCTTCACGTACTCGTAGAGGTATGGGACCAGCTGTAAAAGTAAAGATACAGTATTCCAAGGGAAAGTAATGAGATATCATATAGATATTTATGTTTTTACCTTCACCCATGTATCCGTAACCAGTAACCGTACATCGTTTACCAGCTGTATGACTAACTCCTCTAGCAGGTAAACAAACTAGACAAACTCCGTCTTTTAATTCCGCTTGACCGTACAATTTAAGCAGAGCTATATCGTTATCTAAAGTCTGACTATTGTGATTATGATGAATGTAAGTTGTAGCGACTCTTAACGTTTGTGCACCTGGACTACCATACTTGCGAGTTAAATCATGATCTCCAACTCTTACGTAAATTGCATCACCCGATCTCACGATACTGTAAATATCATAAACATGCCAGTAATATATGAGAGTGTATTAAATACAAAATTTCATACAATGTACCGATCAAATATGAGATTGATCAATAAAAATATAATGCCGATATTATCAGTGAAATATATTTAATATATAGTATTGTTTATTTTTATATAAAAATGTTGGCATTATTTATTGACCAATCGTCCATAATAGAAAAATGTATATATATATAAATATTTTTACTTACTTTGTGACACAATGAGCTGCCGTGAGTACCCATTGAGTGCCGATAAGAGCACCACCACATAGGTACTGATTGAGAGAGTTAATAAGAGCAACTTGCCAACACCATTCGTTAGCATCTGCATCTTCCCCACCAACTACACGAGCACCTCTTTCGAAGCTACGAGCTTGAATCGGCCCACGAGAGGTTCCTTTTACACCGCATACATATTTACTGTATACCGGACTCTTCGTAGTTGTTGTCACTGTCATCGTTGTCGTTTCATCTGCCAAAGAGAAGTTTTGAACAAAACATTTTTTAAGGAAACATTAGAAAAAAAAAACAAAATACAAAGAAATTCTTTATACAAATTATAATAGCTTACAAATTGTCGGAGCAAAGGTTGTTGTATGTGGTCTAGCCGTAACGATATTGGTATAAGTATCATTTCTGTTAGTCAAAATCGGTTCACTGCTATTACCACCGTGAAGTTCTCTGATTAATGATTTTGGTGCGCAACATTGATGTCCTTGTTTCTTGCACTTGAACAAACTCGTTAATTCCGCATTTCCTATGAATTAATTATTGATGAAGGAAAATGTAAATTTCTTTTTTTTTTAATTTTAATAAGAGACAATGGTAAAAGATGACATTTACTTACTAAAGCAAGTGAAGGATAAGTAGGATACGATGCAAGAACCAGGACACTCCGGACGTGGATCAGGTGGTAAAGTAATGGTGGTTGTTGGTCTCGTGGTAGGTCTCGGTCGTGGTCTTGGAGTCTAATTTGGAAGAAGTCGGTCGATGAGTCTCCTTTTTGAAAAGATCGTGTTATCTATTTAACGCTCGATTCATATTACATTTTTCCGAGATCTTTACTTGCCTCGACTCTTATCTTCCTTTGGGGAGGAGGGGTTTACCGTAAAAAAGAAATAGAATCACCTGCGGCGGACTTTTCGTGTTGTCACAGCAGATCGATCCAGATTGACATGTGGACGTTTTAGCGATAATCAAGTTTGGTCGTTCACAGAATGCTGCCATGATTGTCAACAAGCAGAAGCCAGGGCAAGGTTGTAATTTAGGTTGAGGAGGCGACGGCCTTGTTGTAGTTGGACGGACGGTTGTTGTTACTTCCTAAACATAAATCTTAATATAAAACTTGTCCTTTTTTTTTTCTCTAAAATAATTAACAAATAAATAAAAGTTTATCATCGGGTCAAAGTGCAATTAACTTTAATTTTTTTTGTATATTAAGCATTTTGAATAATTAAGCTTAATATTATTAAAAAGGAATAACAATTGTAATTTGATTTATTATTGATAAATAATACGATAATTTATATAACTATATAAGTGTAACTAATTGATTCTGCAAATGAATGGATAACAAATAAAACTTGTTTTTAAATTTATATACCTCTTTTACAGGTAATTCAGTGATACAACAAGTTCCATCTCCTGGACAATCAGCTTCGGAATCAATGTTATCACAGAATAAAGCATATAGGCTGCTGGTACATTCGCCTTTGCACGGTTTTCTCAAAGTAGGTTTTGGTCTTGTTTGCATTGTCGTCGTACTCGTCGTTGTTGCAATAGCCGTTGACGGTTGTTTAGTCGACGTCCATGTAGTACTTGTTGTTGTGGTCGTTGCCATTGATGGATTCGTCGAGTGAATACCAGGTCTTGTACTCGTTTGAGAAAGTATACTACTCTTGTTAGACGTATTGTTTCGATTGGAATTAGTTCGATCGATAACCAATAATTCTGCCG